TTAATTTAGATATTCATTTATCATACATCCAAAAGAACCACTGCTCATCCGCTATTCTGCCAACTTCATGAATTAAACTTAAATTAACTAGAGAGTACCTTTTTCCACTTCTTATACGAGTTTGAAGTACACAAGTTGCACTATATACTGATGTGTTTTCTAGAAAAATATTCCTTTTAGTTTTTGAGATATGTGGCTCTCAATATTGGTTTTTAAAGTTTAATAAATCATTGTTTCTCATTGAGTAGTTAGATCAGTTTTAAGTGAAATTTTTCGAACAGTGGAAACATTCGATAATTTCATGTGCCGTAATTGTAAGTTATTCTGTTATTCTGACAACTTCGTTAATTAAAACCAAAATAATTAGAGAGGATGCTGTTTCACTTTTTGCACTAATATGAAGTACACAAGTTGTACTATGCATTAAACTGTTTTTTAGAAAAAGATTCCTTTTAGTTTTTAAGATATAGAGCTGTCAATATTACATATTAAAGGTAGTAAAACGTATGGGTTTCATTTAATACTCATATTTATTGATTATTACATTACAAAACATTTATGTATGTAATTGTTTTATAAGATTATGCTTCACTTATGTGTTTGATAAGGAACATGTGAAACGAAGATTAGTCTATCTTTTGAAAAAATTATATGTTTTTCAGCCATTTCTACGCATATTATGTCGGATTATCATGACTCGAAGAGACAGCCGGAAAGTCATAATAGTGGAAAAGATTTTATCTGGCTGCTGCATACAAAATGAGAACGTATGATTTATTAAACGTTAAAAACCAATATTGAGAGCTACATATCTCAAAAACTAAAAGAAATATTTTTCTAGAAAACACATCAGTATATAGTGCAACTTGTGTGCTTCAAACTCGTACAGGAAAAATAATTTCGGACTCAAAGGGTTAAATTAGGTTAACCTAGGTTGGGTTATGAAAAAACTTTATAGGTTAGGTTAGGTTTAGGTTGTAGAACCTCTATAGGTTAGGTTATAGGTTGCCAATAAGTCATAACCTGTAGATCTCTAGTGGGCTCTCTCTTAACAAGTTTCAGTCAAAACACTGACTGCTCCTTTTCAGTTTTTGAACAACAACTGACAAGACTTTTCCATAAATTTAAGACGTCGATCAACTCTCTGAATGCTTTCCGTTTCCGGAGCAGCTGTAGACAAAACAAAAAAATCATCGAAAATGTTTACGAAAGTTTACTACGCAAGCAAGCAGAGCGATTTAATTCTCTAAAAAGACAGTTCTTTTTTTGTCAGAATGTTTATTTCATTTATAAAAAAGATCCTTTTTACAGCTTTCACAACCTTTTTTCACGTTCTGCGTTATGAAATGGAAAAAACATCTTTAGAAAAAGGAACTTGATGACTCGACTACTCATGCAGAATAATTGAAAATTTTTTTAATTGATTTTGTTTACGCTCAAGTACATAGAGATTTCCATCTCTATCGAATTTAATTGCAGATGGATTATCTAAATTATTTCTTGCAGCTGTAATAAAGTTCAAGTTTTGTGTTAGTGGATTAAATTGATATAGACCCTGTTGATCCGTAGTAGCAAAATAAATATTCATATTACAATCGAAAGTCATCGTCCTTGCACCAGGTAAATTTGAGAGAAGGACGGTAGCATTCTGAGAACCATACGTCCATTTTTCAAGACGACCCTTGTAGGTATAGGCAACAACAAATAGATATAAGTCAAACGTTTTATTATCAATGTACATACCAATGGGACCAATCGAATTATCAACAGAATTTTTCCATTGACCAGCTACAATGATGCGATATGTGTAGTCTGGTGCAAACCATTTTCGAACAAAGAGATTATAAGATATGTAGATATTTAAATCTGCATCTAACTCAATTCGTAAAACTTTATTAATAAGAACTGAATCTGTTCCATTGATTATTATTTTACCAGTTGCAGCATTCTTTTGCCAATACTGTACTCGATAATATTTGTAATGTTGCTGGTGATTAACAGTAAAAATAGTTATATCGATAATATACATATCACCTGTATTACTATCAATCCATATACTTTGTGGTAAATACAAACCTAATTTAGCAACAGTTTCTATTGACTGATTATTTTTAGGTGCAAACCGTTGAATTCGACTATTGTTGGTATCAACAATGTAAATGTAATTATTTTTATTGTCTAAAAATAAATCTAATGGATTGTTTAGAGACAACGATGACTTATTATTATTTGAAAAATGAATTACACCACTATTTTTCCAAGTAGCATTTAAGGGAATTGGACAAATCGATGATAATGAGTTTGAATTGATCGACGCTAACAAGAGGAAAGAGAAAGAAAAAAATCAGCACAAAAAGCATAGTTTTAACTACAAAGAGTAGAGAAAGTGCTAAATGTGCAACTCACTCCTTTTCCATATTAGTTTTTTGTGTTAAGGCTTCGCTGTTCAAGTTAGAATCATAGGGCCGGCTCGCCTTTCTGTTCTTCAAGGTGAAAAACTGTTTTTAACGGTTCTCACTCTGAAGATCGAGACGTTAAAACTTGACACCATCAGATAAAAATGGAACTTAACTTTTGTACAAAATAGTCTATACTCAGCATTTCCTTCACAGTGAAAACCTGTATTTTTTTTGGCAATTTTACGGCTTCTATACGCTAATTGATACGCTTAGAACATACTGACATTTCATATACTTTTTATCTTTACTTGATCCATCAGTATATATTCCTGTATTTGTTTCAGATACTTTCCCAATACGTATAAATCACCAGTTGTCGGATCAAGTGCCAATGATACTAATTTATCATTGCCTTTCGCCGTAAGATCTACACTGTTTATACCAGTTTCTAAAGGCGATCTAAAAAATTCTACGTAATCGGATCCTTCAGCGATGAATATATTTCTATTGCAATCAAGTTGAAAACCACCGGATGACCGATGTCCGTTCCGTTTCCATCCTGTGATAGTACCATTTGAATTCCTCATGTCCCATTTTAACCATCCACCATAACCTTTTTGATTCAATATAAACAATTCATCGTTGTCAAATGGATTTACGTAAATATTCATTGGAAAAAGTATTCTGTTGGAATTGTAAGTGTCTGGTGTCAGATTCTCTGTTACAGTAAGTATCAAAAAAACCTGTGAATCATTACGTTTCAAAAGACTTGTATCCAAATGTTTCCGTACCGTCAGCAAGAACACAAACTTGATTTGGATTTGATATCAACAGTTTATTGGCAATTGCTGTCGTATGATCAGATATGATGGTCTGACGCGAAATATGCTTAACACCAATGCTGAAACGAACAAAATTCGACATAAGAGCCTTTCGTACACAATGGATCGTTCGAGAAACTGTTTGTTTATCTTTGAGGTGAAAGAGAGACGAAAGTACTTTGTTACTTAGACCGAGTCTAAGTTTACATAGAAAAACGGCAAGAGCAACTCTAGCCGATCGAACGTAAGTATTTTTCAAAGCAGATAACTGATTTAATAAATCCGCAAAATGACCTAAGCAGAGAAAGAGTGACTATATTTCACATTCATTGTCGTTAGACACTAACTTTTTTCCAAACCAGTAATGTTGTAATAGTCTGTATCAGTCAATGATAAAGGATTATTAAAATCAATCGATTTGTCTTTCTTTATAGCATCGCTAAACGCATCAAACCAGTCTAACACAGCATCGACTGTCATTGTAATATTGTCCTCAATACTTCCTAATAAACAAAAACAACTACTGGAGCTAACAATAATGGTGTACGAAGATCTTACGCTCTCTAACCTTCTATTCTTTGAAGATCGTCAAACGATAATTAATTCGATTAAATATATACGATTAAAGAATAAAACAAGAAACGAATGAATTTTATATATTCGTCAAACGTTCAACTTTTATATATTCAAGGAGGAGAGTACTCACTGTGCATTTCTTTCCTATTGTACCAACGTCGCGAACTAAAATTACATTAATTATTGAAGACCCATTCCTGTCTTTTAATACTAGTTTAAAGTACACGAGTTATACACGATACTAATCTATTTTTTAGAAAGGAATCCCTTTTAGTTTTTGAGATATATGGCTGTGAATATCGCTGATTATCGTTTGAAAAAGCAAGTTTTTGTAGTGATAAGACAAATAGGAATAATGTTTCGAAATGTAATTTAGTAGACACACAACAACCATTTATACATACATAAAGGTTAACTTCGACGTTATTCATATTTAAGATTGTGTGAAAGTAGTGTAATAAAATAAGCTAACGCATGTGCCAATACGTGATGTTCTGTTGTCATAACACTAAGACCAGCTTTTTTACTCACATATATACGTCAAGGTCGCTTACTCAAAATTTCAAGGGAAAATATATGTCGAAAGTCATTGAAAAGCTAGCCTTTTCAAACGATAATCAGCAATATTCACAAGCATATATCTCAAAACCTAAAAAGGATCTTTTTCTAAAAAATAGATTAGTATCGTGTACAACTCGTGTACGTTAAAGTAGTACTAAAAAACGGGCATGGGTCTTCTATAATTAATGTAATTTTACGTTGGTACAATAGGAAAGAAATGCACAGTGAGTACTCTCCTCCTTGAATATATAACCATTTGATAATTCGATGAGTATCATATTCCGATGTATATGTCGACGAGGGCCAATAAACTAGTACACGATGCACATAGGTATCAGGATTGTTAGCCGATTGAAAATTATCCAAAATAAATACATTTTCATTATCATCGACAAATAATGCAGCTGGATTGTATTATTTTCTTCTGAATACCATATCCGATTAACAACAGTTATACCAGTTTTATTGTAAATAGGAATTAATGGAAGAGGACAATCACTAGTGGTATTGGCAGATGTAGGAAGACCTGATAAGTACACACAAAAAAAACCCGTGAACTTGACTACTCAGTGTATAGCAGTGCTAATACAAGACACCAAAAAGGTTTGTGCACTTAGTAACCTGCGTTGACGTAAATGGCGAGACATAACCTGTTTGGTCATCAGTAAATGAGAAATGGCTAATCGGTCTTTTAATATCGAACAAAGACAACCCTTGACGGATATCAATTTAGGACTTTTGTATTACCATCCGACACGTTTTTCGCAGTCTTTTTCGTTTTCTAGAAGAATTTCCTCTCTCGTCCACTATTGAACTTAGCATCGAATTTTCAAATGAAGGACATAGCACACAAGAATGTCGACGAAACGACTTGACAGAATAAGCAAGTTTTTCGACCCCAGAATTTCGAAAAAACACCTATACGGTTAGAATTTGTATCGAATTATGAACAAAATAACTCATGTATTTTCACAATCGGTATAAAAAACTGAATCGAAGGATATATGTTTCAACGAGGACGAAAATTTTATCAAAAATCTGAGCACCGATTTTAAAGCAGAAATTGAAAACACCGAGTTTTTCAGAAACTCTTCAGGAACCTAGAAATATACATCATTCTATTCAGTTTTTATGCTGATTCATAGTTATTTTGCTCAACACTCTTAACAAAATGTGTTGCTCAGTTTTTCGGAGAGCTGAAAAGTCAACGGGAATTTTGTTCTTCATTTATCCCAAATAGAGAACTCAAGTTCTGTTAGCTCTCAAGAACTCAAAATTTGGTATTCAGTTGTCAAAAAAAAATGATTTTTTTCGTTCATTGAAAAATTGAAAAACAAATTTAGAGTTTTTGAGAGCTGAAGGACAGAATTTGAGTTCTCTAGTTGGGACAATTGAAGAACAAAACTCCGGCTGACTTTACAGGTATTTAAAAAATTGAAGGGCACATTTTTTTATATTGTAAAACGTAATTTTAATGTTCAAAATTCGATTTTTCTGGTTAATTTAGGCAATTTTACAAGTTTTCAATAATTTCTATTCGCATCTTCAAACTTCAAGGAATACCACTTCTATTTTTCGAAAAAAGTTTATGTTTGAAACGAAATATTCATTTATTCTATGTTCAAGAGCAAATGCGAGCTCCAGCAGGCTGTGGTTTTTGGTTGAATTATTGGCATTCATAAAATGTTAAGTCAACGATCAATTTGAAGCAATTTAAAGCACGAAATTAAATCGAACTCATTCGAAATAAATTAATTCAAACCAGTTCAGTTAAAACTAATTGAAATTAATGTTTTCTCAAACTGATTCGAAATAATTTTAGTGTAGAAATTAATTATAGTTCATTTTAACTGCGAAATTGATGTAAATTAATTTACTACAAACAAATTTAAATTAATTTGGCCTCTTAAATTGATGTGAAGTAATTTTTCATCTTTTTTGGGGGCAGAAATTAGTGTGTATTAATTTAAAATTATTTAAAAGTTCCAATAAGAGTTGAATAAGTCTTTACAAATGAACGAGAGCTGTATGTGTTCGTTTCGACGAAATGGGAGTTAACAAAGTGCCGCTATTTGAAAAACCTTCAACAGCAAGTAGACGGGTGCGGAGCAAAAGAGCTGGAACACCGGCATGGCAACTATCAGCTTATAAACACCCTAAAAGAAAAGCATGGATCAAAATGAACATTTCCTTCTTCCTATATTTTTTGCTTTTACTGCATACACGAGTAAGAAAATTTTATTTTCTATCATATACTTTTCCCCTTTTTTCTCCTTTCTCTCAGTAACATAAAAAAGGAGATAAAACAAGAACGTACAAAGTGAACGGAGTCTAACACTACCCATGAGGTTTTTTTTATACAAAATAACGCTGAGAAACGCGTTTTTCAGCGTTAAAGGGCTACAATTTAACGATAAAAGTGCGAAGCGTTGTAACGGACTACAGATTTTATACCATTGTAACGCGTTAACAGATTCTATCCCGTTGTAGAGCAGTAAATGGTTCTAATAGCGCGATTTAAAGGAATATTTTATTGTCTACGTTGTAACACGTTAATTCTTCGTAACGAACGCGTTATCTAAAAGTCGAAAATGAGGAAAATCCCTTGCATGAAATTAAAGAAACATTGCTTAATAACGAGATAAGAACGACAAGGTCAGATAAAAATTGTTGGCAAAATCCGTTTCAGTTTGTGTTTCAAAAGTGTGATATTAAGATCTCATCTAATTCGCGATGACGTGTAACGTTTTTTTTTATTTCGCCCATCCCTCGAAAGAAGAAGTAAAACAGACAGACAGTGTGCGTATATTATCGTCCACTGCGTTTAACTTTCGTTCTCTTTTAATGTATATAACATAACAGATATATCATATACAATTCAGTTAGTTATTTCTTCACTTTTTAACACAGTGCAAAGAGTGTTTTTCTGTCACAGTTTATTTAGTTTTGTTGTAATCGCACTAGGCTAACTACTTGACTATTGTCACCTGTAAGTACACAGCAATTATCTAGAGAAAAAGAGCATTCGGAGAGAAGTTATTTTGTCTCAAAGTTGAGCTATTTTGTTCGTGACAGTTTTGGAATCGAACAGAAGTATTTTTCCTCAGATAATGCATCAAATTTGCAGTCTTCTCCCATATGTAGGTTCAGTTAAATATGTTAACCGTGTCGAGATCTAAGAATGAAAATGCATACCAGTGAGAGTAATGCATACAAAGGTTGAGTTATCACAAATTGTGACTTGCCTCGGTGTAAGATCGCTTTGCTGTTTGAGTCTTTCAGAATGTAACAACGATCATTTCGATCCTGTTTCACGCACGGAGGATAGCGGCACAGCCAGAGCACCTCAATCACAGGACGCTAGATTGGCTCTAACAACGAACTGATCCAAGTGTCAAGTATCTACAGATACACATTCACTGGAAGTCCGAGCGTGAATGTTTTCTTCACATACCGCAAACCTTACCTTATTGGCAAAACTCACAGGTGAAACTCAAATACAGTCCTTCTCACTTCTACTCTGAGATCAAATGATAGTAACGATTCGGATAAAAACAGAGAAATACATGGATGAAGAACCTAAAGAAATAAATCTGAGAAACTTTTCACCAACAAAAACAATACCACACTTTAGATGAGCAAATTAATAATAGTTCAACTTCGTGACACTGAAATGAAATGGAGTTCAAAGCTCAGACACAAATAAAATAAATTCCTGTGTACTTTGAAGAAGGTGCTCTAGAAGAAAATTTCTGATTGCTTCATGTTCTCGAAGAAAATACCGAGTAAAACATGATGGAATCTAGTTGAAAAGTGATTAAACTATCGACAGAAGGTAGGGTGTTACAACAGAATACATTTTTAGTGCGTCGTGAGACATTCTTATTTTTATCTCGTTACAACACAATTTTTTTTCAAGAGCAGAACAACGCGATACATTATTTGATCCGTTACATCGCCTTAAATTTTTTCTAACAAGAAAAGTCTGCTGATAACGCACTTTATCGTCCACTACAAAAACGGACTTTATCGCGTCATTAGCGCAACGAAAAAACCTCATGGATACCCCAAGCAAAAATTGTCTAGCGGAAAAATCCAGATGTTCTTGCTGGAGCATCTAGGTAAAAGAGTAAAAATAATTGCCTTATCTAGATGTATCTGGTTGAACCCAATACCACACAATGCGAATCTCAATGCATCGGAAAGCCATAAAATAGACAAGTAAATAGAGCTGACTGTTTACCATTACTGTTACTAGTAACAAGTAACAAATTCTTTCTTCGAGTAATAAGTAAACAGCCACCCCTACAAGGAAGGCAGTGCTCTGGTGCGTGGTCGGAGACAAAAAAATATGCTTATTTCAGAATCAATTAGTTCTTGTGTTTGAGTGTGAATTGGATGTTCCGGTGGATAAATTTTCACTTGTATTTCCTTAGCACTCAAATAATGACTACGAGCTTTGTCTTTTACTTGATTATCTTTGTAGTAATGTCCAACTAACATTAAACATTTTGTAATTAATTCATATTCTAGACAAATATTTTCTACTGAAATCTTCAATGCCTTCTCACAGTAACTTAGTTTTTTACTTTCATCCTCCGCACAAAGTTCACATAATTTTAGTAATAAATGTGCAATAGTAGCAGTATGATGACTATTGTCCACTGATAAATATTTCTCGTGGAAAGACAACTGTTCACGACAAAAAGCAATAGCACATTGTCTCCGATCTTGTTTTTCATAGAGATCAATCAATGCCTCAATACATTTTGTCCGTAGACGATCTCCAATTACTAAATATATTTTACTCATTTTAAATGCTGTAAAATAAAATGATTCAGCTGTGGTATACTCCTGTTGATTAAAATAGATATCACCAATTATACCATGACAATAAATAATTTCTGTATAGAGTGCTGGTTGTACTTGTTGAAGTTTATCACGAGCTGTAAGACACAGATCAAGTGCTTGGTCATATCGCTTCTGTTTTAGGTAAATGCTACATAGATTAAGTTGAATTATACAATTATTATTTTCATCAGTCTTTTCGCAGTTTAATGCGCTTTCATAAAAACTGCATGCCATATCAAAATATTCTATAGCTTTATAATAATTTCCAATGTTATTTAATGTTTCACTCAGATATCTATGATGACATGATGTCATTTTTATTTCATAAGCCTGTGAGAAGCATTTAAATGCTTCATTCCAATTTGTTGTATGCATATGCACATCGCCAATATGATCGTAAATCGATGCTCGATCTTTATGTTTTTTAGGTAATACATTTAACATCATTTGAAAGTAGGATTCAGCTTTGGTGTAATGACCCATATCTAATAGAAGACGTCCAAATAGGATATTATTCATACTACTACAGGTTTCAAATTTCTTTCGTATTAATTCTAACTGTTCTTTTATATCCGCTGTACCTTCATCCGTTGCCTTCATTTGTATTGTCCATACACCATTTGATCCTTCTTGATCGTCGTCCTGATAAACCTGTTCAATCTGAAATACAGAATTAATATTGAATAAAATTTCGTTTTCGTGTGATCTACTCAGATATTTGTCAATATCAACAAAGACCAAGTCTTTCAAAGAACAATCGACAGTGATTTCGTATAGTACAACTCTAAACCTTTCGTTTTTATCCGATGCGCCACCAATAAACTGTTTAGCAACAGCAATACTTTTTGATGTTGATAGAAATCCATTCGTCGATACTAGCCTGCCAATATTGTCTTTCAAATAGTTCAGTTCTGCACTTGGCATCTGTGATTGACCACGATACAATTTTAAACAGCAGTCTGTTTTTTGTTGTTGTTGTTGTTGGATGCGGTGTACACTTTCTAATTGTTTACACAAATCAATGATATAGAAGCGAAATAGATACCAAAGTGCAATATCTTCCGTACGAAATGCATGATTAATTAAACGATAAACAAAACTATCTCTTGTATACCATTCAATTGCTTTATCAGATCTATAAGTTTTATGAAAGTCTTCTATTTTTTTTAATTGAACTTTATTGTTACGATAATAGTCCTTGCATTTACCAATCATAATTCTTCATTCTCACTGATAGTGATCCATTTTGCTTGCCAACATAGATCAGAAAGTCATTATTCGCCCTTTCTCTACTCTCGTAGAAAAAAAGAAACATTACTCAATTTCAAATGTAAACATGTATTATTTATCAGATATATTTTGAAAAATACAAAAAAACATCGAGCTTTCTTAATTCAACACATGATCAGGTACACCAACTATGTTCAAATTTCGACTATATCTAAACAAAAGAAAGTGTTCAGTCGTACACTTTAACTGTTACTTACTTGAGTACAATTCTCTTGTTATCTTGTAAATTAAGTTTTCAAATAAATATTTCTTCATAAAATGAATACTCAGGCTGATAAAAGTACAATTTAGACATTTAGATACAGCGACATTACCGCGAACGACATTACCGCGAATACAAAAAACAACATTACCGCGAATACAAAAAACGACATTACCGCGAATACAGAGAACGACATTACCGTGAAGACTTGTTTGTTGGAAAAGCCGAATAAATGAGGCCAGTTTTGTATTTTGTACATCATGTCTTCAAACTTAACTGACGTTATGTGGTGACTAGTCATTATCTGATACAGCCACAGATATCTAGTTTCCCATCACGATAATATGTTTTATGTGAAAATACTTTTCGAACTCACTCTCACAATGCCCTCTCCCCACTTCCCACCTCCCTCCACATGATATACAAAGTACAAAACCAGGCTCATTTATTCTTCTTTTCCAATAAACGAGTCTTCGCGGTAACGTCGTTCACTGTAATGTCGTTTTCTGTATTCGCGGTAATGTCGTTCGCGGTAACGTCGTTCGCGGTAACGTCGTTCGCGGTAATGTCGCTCGCGGTAATGTCGTTCGCGGTAATGTCGTGTCACGAGATATTTATTGTGAAAGTCCTGCCATTAACATATAAGTTCATGTAAATTATTGATGATAATGAATGAGAAGGATGAGGATAATCATGAGAGAGAGCAAGAGACCAATCATAATGGCAAATATACCGATGCTGTTCATGATTAAAAAAAATTAGCATTTTTCATTCTGATTAAAAAACTTATGCTGCGAGAAAGAAACAAGAACGCATAGTTTCTTTGCGTGATTTGATCGGTAATAAGTTAGATGAGAAGGCGAAGAAAACTCAAAAGGTAATTATGAAAATGAAACATGGGCAAGGATGAGCATGTGTGATGCTGTAAACAAGGTTTACACAGGCTGAGTTTGTTCCAGAAACGGTTTTAAAGTATACTGTGGTAGAACATAGGAAAACTCCTTTGTTCATGCACTCGTCGTTTCTTTTCTTTGTTATTACTTTTTCTATATGTGTGAGAATTTAATAGAGGACTGTCAACTGC